GAATATGCACATAAAGAAGTTAAATAAAAAAATGTGTGTAGCAGTCCCACTGTTCCAGCAGGAATGAATTACATATTCATGTAGGAACTACAAAATATGAATTGTGTAATTTTTGATTCCACATGCAAGTTAAGTAGTCATATTCCCATTTAAAACAGGCATTGAACAAAACATAGACAAATAGGAAAGTTCATTCCAATATAAAATATTTGTTTTCTTTACTTGTAATGACATTGAATAGCAAATTAAAAAAAAAATACCGTGTCAAAAGAGAGTAACCATGAAACAAAAGGAAAAGTTTTATCCTTTGCCTTGTTTTGGTTGGGTTGTTTTTGAGATAGTCCAGTTTGAATTCACCATGTAGATGAGAGTAGCTGGTCTTAAACTCACAATGTAGATTAGGAAGGCTAGCCTTGAATTCATGGTCCCCTTGCCTTAACCTTCCAAGTACATGGTTGCAGTCATGTCCCAGGTAAGATGTTTACATTTTGGGATCTTTAGTCATATGATTTCCCTGCTTTTTTGAACAAGGTCCATAGTTTCACATTGTGCTAGGCTCTTGTCCTAGTTAGGTTTCTACTGCTGTGATAGAGCACCACGATCAAAAGCAATTTGGCGAGGAGGGAGTTCATTTGGGCTTATTCCTCCGCCATGGTCCATCTTGAAGGGAAGTCAGGGTAGGAGCTCAAGGAGGAGCCTGGGGGCAGGAGCTGAATCAAAGACCATGGAGGATCGCTGCTTACTGGCTTGCTCTTTGTGGTCTGCTTAGCCTGCCTTCTTATAGAGCCTAGGACCACTTAAGGGTTAGGCCCTCCCACATCAATCATCACAAGAAAACACCAGTCATCTCAAGATTTGCCTATAGGCCAATCTGATGGGGGCATTTGCTTAATTGTAGTTTCCTCTTTCCAAATGATCCTGGCCTGTTTCAACTTGGAAAAAAACAAAACAAAACAAAACAAAACAAAACAAAAAAAACAACACACAAACAAACAAACAAACAAACAAACTAGGACAGCTCTAAAAGTTATGGGCCCAGCCCTGACCTCAAGACATGTCTACTAACACCATTCCAGAGGACACCATCCTAGGACTTCTCTTGATAGGAACTTGCTACTAGGCCTTGTCATACTTTTACACTAGGGGGCTTCAGTTGGGACCAATGATACTGTCTATGCTTTGGTAAGACAAAACACATCTCCCAAACACGGCTCTAAATTTTGTTCTCTTAACAAAATAGTAGGTGTTCATTGCAGGTCATGAGAAAAGTGTCAGAGCCCAAGTTTCTAGCCTATGGATGCAATGACAGTCCCCCTTCCCTGCCCCCACACTGCTGCCATTTAAATCTTGGGCATCACTTGGAAATATCAATAAAGCAATGTGTGATGCATCTTTGCAGCCATACTCCAGGTGCAGGCCCCAGAGTCCCAAGAGAAGATGCTCTACCCTTCACGAGGTTCCAAGGCCTTAGGAGAATCATGTGTCTTGTTCAGGGTCAACAAGACTCAATCAGCAGCCAAATGCAGGCTTGCTCTGCGGCCTGAGTAAGTCTGAGATTCCTCAGTCTTCCTGGGCAGGTTAGACTATCTTGTCTATTGGAATTCTGCAAGAAGAAAATACTGTTCCCTTGAATTTCCCAGAAAACAAATCTTGCAAAATCCTATCTAGTAGCCCTGTACAGATAGTCAGTGTACTCCCACCAAGAAAAAAAAAAAAATAAAGAAAAGAAATCTGAGTCAGAACAGACAATAACCTGGAGCCATTTGCAGACTTTCTGCATACCCTCCTTGGGCTCCCAAGGCCATTCATTCAAATGGACTGACAGTCCTTCTGCATCTTAGCAGCCCCCTTGTTTTGGGGGTGATTTTATAGACAAAGCATGAGGCTCACGAACTTAAGTTTTCTCCTGAAGCCTCACCACAGCCTTGTGTTTGGAGAATAGCAGCCCTTAGCAACACAGCAGAATTCTCTAGGTATTTCTGGGTATGTTAAGCGCCTTCCCAAAGCCAAGCCTCTATCTCTACATATGGCTCTCTGTGGCAGGAAAGCACCTTAGGAACAGTATCATCAGGCTGCCCAGGTGCCACCAAAACCCTGATGGAAGGCTCAACTGCTTCTCAGCCAGGATAAACCTGCTCTTGCCCTTCTCCTTCCTGTTAGCCAGCACTTATGGGAAAGGCTAACTCATGACCAGGCTGCACTGTGCTAGCCCTAACTAAAACAACACAGGTCTCTCTCTTTTTTCTATCCAAACATAACTGAAAATACACACTCCTTTTGTTTTGCTTTTCAAGGCAAAGAACTCTCTCTATAGACGAGACTGGCCTCAGACTTACAGAGAGCTGCCTGCCTCTGCCTCCTGAGTGCTGGGATTAAAGACACCTGACACCATGCCTGGTCCACACTTAGTTTTTGTTTATTTTGCATTTAAAATAATCTCCATGAAATATTTTAATGGAGTGTACAAGTGCTTTTGACACAATGGTAAGTGGGGTTAAAAGCAGGACATATATATATACACACACACAAGGACCCTTACTTTGCAAACACACATACCACACCACACACACAGTCAACACAGATTTCTTTCCTTTGTTTGTTTGTTTTTTTGTTTGAGACAAGGTTTCTCTTTGTGGCCCTGGCTGTCTTGGAACTCCCTCTGTAGACCAGGCTGCCTCAAACTCAGAGATCCTCCCGCCTCTGCCTCCTGAGTGCTGGGCATGTGCCACCACAGCCTGGCTAAACATGGATCTCTGTACCAATACAAAGGAGAGCAATGTCAAGCTTCTCATCAAAGTGATTTCCGTGTGGAGCCCTCTTGCCAGATGCTGGGTGTGGGCTTGACAATACTGGTCAGCTTGTTGTCTCTCACATTGTTATGTGAGATCTGAAGACATCAGGTGGTCCTCTCAGAGCCTTGAATCAAGGTACTGTATGGTTTTGTTTGTTTGTTTGTTCCTGATTACTAGGGCTGAGAGCCCAAGAGAATTTTGAAATCTGTGTACCAAGTAGCAGAAGAGGTCATGAAGATGCTCATTTTCTTCAGCATGTTGTGATGGGCAGGGCATTGTCTTTGAAGATGGATGGCTCCGGGGCCTTGGGATACTCCTCTGCAAGGTGGGTGGCCAAATCAGATTGCTTATATTAAAAAAAAATAGTATAGGCTAGGTGTGGCGCTGTAGGCCTTGAATCCCAGCACTCTGAGGAGAGAGGCAGGGGAATCTTCTGAGTTCAAGGCTAGCCTGGTCTACATGGTTCCAGGCCACGCAGGGCTACATAGTGAACCCTGTCTCAAAAAAGTAAAAGTCTAACATAAGTTTCTTAGTAGTGCACATGCTGAATTATTAATATTAATAAGTGATGAGTCCCAGAGAAGGCAGCAGAAGGGAAAGTCTGCTGGGGCTTCTTTCCTTTCCGTCACGGGTGAAGTTTCCTGAATTGTTTGTACGGTGAGGACAGAAGGGGAGAGGCTGACCAGGCCTCAGCCCTTCTCTGTCTGGGCCGGCCTGACCAAGGACACACCTTGGGTTTCGCCCATGGACATGACTGGAGGCAGGTTCCATTACCACTCCACATTCATGCATTAGCCACCAAGAGTGCCTCTGCCTCCCCTGACAGCTGCTCTACCCTTTAACTGTTCATTGGGGCAGCAGCCAGGATGCCAGAGACTTACAGGAAGTCCAAGGGATCAAGTATCCCTTTATGGATTCCCATATTCCATCTTTCTGCACCACTATTTTCTCTGGTGCCTTATTTGTAACACCAGGACCGTTGTCACCTGTAACTGCACTACTAGTTTCGTTGCTATTAATTCTTTACACTTGTAAGTGACTTCGCGACACATAAAGTATCTCCTCAGGCTGGGTTTCACCCTAGCAAAGATGACCCCAGCTGGGGACATAGACCTCTTGCCAAAAGATGACCTCGAAAATGGCAGAACGTGAAGGTAGGTGGAGGCTGGTGCTCGAGGCTCAAGGGGAACACAGTACATCCTTCTGAACGGGCCGTAGTTGTAGCATTTCAACCTCCAGACACATCCACCACCTCCCCCAACAGGAAGTTCAGGCAACTTCCAAGGTTAGAAACGAAGAAATGGCCTTTTATTCTACAAGAGAAGCTTGACTATACCCAAATCCCAACACACAGGTTGGGAGAAGAGGAGAGAGTGGTTTAGTCACTGTAAGGTAGTTGCTTACTGCTTGTCACAGATATATATATATATATATATATATATATTTGTGTACACACACACTTTAACCTCATCCCTAAAGTGCACCTTAGAATGTATACCTTCAGCCCAACAGAAGAGCCCCGGGCAGGAGACCAAGAATTCAAGCAAGGCTAAAAGCCAACCATGAACCCGGAGCCTTTCAGACTGCTGGAGCAACCAGCAAGACCCCGAGAGAAGAGAGTGGCATTTTCAGAATTCACTTTGCTCAGGATGCTGAGGACATCCTAGGAAAATCCCCTTTGCCACTGGGGCAGGAGAACTTGGGAGAAGGCCTGTTCCCACCGGGATGCTCACTTAAGGAAAGCCGTAGGCCAACTTTGGAGCCAGTGACACACGAGTGGGGCAGACAGGTGCATGGGCTGTCCTAGAACCCGTGGCTTGTGGGGCACACCTGGGACGCTATCTCTTCATTTTTGAACCCAAGTTCACCGGTGAGCAGTAGCAGTCGCTGCCAGACCCGCTGGGTCACCCCCCTCTGTCTGTCCGGCCATTTAAAGGCCAGATTTACCATGTAGGCTGGGGAAGAGACTCGAGATGACTACGGCCTTTGGAAGGCATCGTCTAGAAAGTCACACTTTTTCTCAAGCGCCTCCTTCACCGATCTCCCAAGAGCACGGCCGTCACAGGAGGGAGCCTGCACCGCGGGGTGCCTCACCGGCTCTCTGGGACCCAGAGAGACTAGGTCGGGGAATCAGGGAACGCGTGGCCGGGTGGGGCCCCTGGAGGCCCGGGTAAGAAGGGCAGGGGGGCGCGGCGGGGCGCGGCTTACCTGCCAGGCTGTTGTAGCAGTCGATCTCGATGGCTTCAACCGTCTTGCTCTGCTCCTCCGAGAGGCGGCCGGCTTTGGGAACCCCGGCCGAGGAGGCTGGCCGCGCTTCCCGCTCTCCCGGGGGAGGCAGCAGCCCCTTCAGCTCCAGCAACGCCCGGTGGTATTTGCCGATGGCTTCGCGGAATTTCTTGTCCTTGTAGCACTGCGCCCCTTGGCTCTTGAACTCGTGCGCGCGCCGGATGAGCTCGGCGGGCTCAGCCGCCGCCCCAGCCTGGCCCCGCTCCGGGGCTCCTCCGCCGCCGCCCGGGACGCACGGTGGCGGCGCGGGCCGCGGCCCCTCGCCCAGCGCGGGCGGGCTAGGGTTCCCCGAGGCTCGGGCCGCCAAGCCCTTCCTCTCCATCCGGCCGCCGCCCGCGCCCTGAGCGCGCCCGTGATCCCGGCTTTAAAAGCGCCGGGCGCTGGCTTCGCGCCCCGCAGACTCCGCCGCGGCCGTGACCCAGGGCGCCGCCGCGCGCTTGCCCCGCACTCCCATCCTCGTCGCCAGCCGCCCAAGGCTGCTCCCTCCTCCTGCGATCGCTCCCCTCCCAGCTCCCTCCTCCCGCTCCCCCGGCGCCCGCCCCCGTCCCCGCCCTTTTCTGCTCCCGCAACCTGCCGCGGTCGCCGGTTGCCGGACCCTGGGCGCGCCCGGCCCTGGTGCAGGGGACAGCGGGCCCGACTGGGGTGGTGGCGATTGTCGCTGACCCGGAAGAAGCTGGGTTTGCTCAAAGGAGGGGAGGATTAACGACAAAGAGGGCCCCTGGTTCCCATTCATCCAGCCTTCCGAGGCGCGCCGGGGCCGAAAGAGGCGGTGGGGGAGGGGTGCGTGTGTTTGGGGAGGACGAGGGTGGGGGTTGCCTCAGTAGCTTTCTTTGGAGCTAAAGAGAAAGGTGCGTCGGGGAGCGAGGAAAATAGACAGGAGCCGTGGCTTGTTTGGTTTGCGGCAAGGCATTACTATTTTAGGTGACAGGGCCTCCTCCCTTTTGTGGATCCAGGTTGTCGCTGAGGTGTGTCTCCCGGGCGCCCAGGACACTGGTGCATGTCTGCGTGGGGCGTTGTATTCCAAGGGCTTGTGTGTGCTTACGCTATGTGCGTGCGCAGCTATGCAGAATGAATCACAGAATCGGAGATGGAAACACCTGTTACTGTTGGTCATCAGCTTGGCGGGCACAGGGTTCCAGTTTCCATTACTAGACAGTTCCGCGCCCTTCCTGGGGAGGCTCCTCTCCCTCATTCTTTCACTCAGTCGTGAGTGTCAGCTGTGTGCTGGAGATTGGCTGAGGCCCACAGGCAGAGGAAAATCGGCAAGTTATCCCCACTCCCTGCACTCCAGAAATGCCCAGTTTACTGCAAGAAGATAGCGATGAATAAAAATTGTCATGGGGAGGAACGGGAGGAACAGAAAGTGTTGTGGAGCTGAGGAGGCCTTATGGGGATAATAGCTTTTGAGGCTCCTGAAGGACAGGCAGGATTGGACACGAGGAGGGCGTAAAATATGAGCTAGGAAAAGAAAGCTCAGAGAGATGTGATGTTTCCCGTCTTAGGTGCATTCAGGGCGTAATGGTTTGACTTTGTGGGACTGAGAGACGTCTAAGAGGGATTCCAGGGGTTCCTGGATGAAGTGTTTGGATCTGAGTTTATAGTTAGTGAAAACGATAGATAGTTTTTAGTGACGCTGAGAGAGAGGAAAGATGCTCTAACCTTTTGATTGTCAAAGCCTGGTTCCCAGATCTGCGACATCGGCTTCTCTTGGGAAACGATTACATGCAAGTTCTAAGGTCATATGATCCAGACCTTCTGAAACAGAACCTCGGCCTTGGGTCCAGCAGCCCATGCTTCGGAAGCTCCAAGACACTGCTGCGAAAGCTTCCTGCTCTGCTCCCACGCCAGACGTATCAGCTGTGCGATACTTCTGCCCCTGTGCGAAGTGCTGGGTGTGCAGGATTCCCAACCCGCTGACCCAGAAGCTGCACTGTGACGAGGTTGGCAGTGATCTGTATGGCCACCAGACTGACCTGCTATTCTGCACTAAGAAAAGTACAGAAAACTGTCAGCAACTGTTGAGACTCTATGTAGCGCCTGCGTTTCTGTTTAAGTGGTACGGGACACTGTTTACAAGTTTTCTTCTTTTTAAACTTTATGTCTTACTTGATTAAATATTCTTTTACTGCTTCCCCTCCCTCCCCGGCAGTTCTGGGGTTTCGTGTGTACCAGCAAGTGCCCTACCACTAAGCCAGGCCCCTATACCTTATTTTCATGGCTACATAATAGGCTGTTGTGTATCTATGCTATAGGGTACAGAACCAAGTGTTTTTGTAGCCATACAGCTTCTTACTGTTCTAGATACTACAATATGTGGTGAACAATGCTAGATATTACATACCCGGTGCTTACACCGTGGCAGGCACTGTTTTAAACACTTTGCATGTAATTCCTTTAACCTGTACAACAATCTAGTGAAATAAGTACTGTTACCACCATTTTGAATACCATGCGTCTTAGTTTTTCATTGCTGTGAAGAGACAACATGACCACAGCAACTCTTGTAAAGGAAAACATTTAATTGGGGCTGGCTTACAGTTTCAGAGATTTAGTCCACTACCAAGGTGAGAAGCATGGCAGCGTCGGGGCATAGTGCTGGAGACAAGGCACCCAGGAGCTGCCTGCCTTCCACACTGGGCGGAGCTTGAGCATAGGAAACCTCAAAGCCCGCCCCTACAGTGACTCACTTCCTCCAACGAGGCCACACCTCCCTATGGGCCAAGCAGAGTCTAGATCTGGGTGTGCGGGGAGGCGCAAACCTATTCAGTCCATCACCACACACCACAGAGACTTGCTAAGGTTACACTCCCGGTAAGTAGCAAGCCTGGAATGTGAACCCATGCAGCCTGGCTTCAGACTTTCTTGCACTATTCTTATTTATTTCTTGCTCTTATATATTTTTCTGTCTATGAAATTATGTTAATTTAAAAGTAAATCTCTTGCATCCCACACCCTGCGCTGGGGGTCAAACCCAGCGCCTCATTTGTGCTAGGCAAGCATTCTACCCACTGAGCAATACACCCAGCTCAAGAAAGTCTTGAAACATACTGTCAATCTGCTTCCCTCCCCCCTCATGTGTATGTGTGTGGTATGCGTGAGTGTAGGTATTCCAGTGTGTGTGAACACACGTGTGTGGGATGGGAGTGCACAGGCATGTGGAGGCCTGAGGTTGACACAGAGAGGCTTCGTTGGTTGCTCTCCATGTTTTTCATGGAGTCAGGTCTCTCAGTTGAATTCAGGGCTTAGGAAGCAGTGAGTCTGGGTAGCCAGCTTTTCTGGAGAGCCTCTGTCATCTCCACCTTCCAATTGTTGGCATTATGAGTGGGGCCCCCAAGCCAGCGGGCTGGGAGGGCCTTACAAGTGCTTTAACCACTAAGCCATCTCCCCAGCACCTAGTTTGTTTGTTTAAATGTGATCCAGCAGGATATGGTGTCACCTGCCTGTCATCCCAGCACTCAGGAGACTGGGGCAGGAAGCATGTTTCAAATTCAAGGTTAGCCTAATATACACAGTGAAGTCCAGGCCTACCTGCACAAGAGGAGACCTTGTCTTTAAAAAAAAAAAAAATACTGTAACTCAAGTTTAAAAGGTGGGACAAACCTGTGCTTCTGGAACAAATGCACTGTTACACAGCGTCCTCACCAACTTCAAGAGTAAAACTTGTGTAAATAGTGTGAACTTGGGTAAATGAAAAATGAACATCAACTTAACAGACATATTTCATGCTAAGGACTAGTGTTTTTCACGTGTGTAGTTACCATTTATAGAGAACTGAAGCCTTTCGATTGGGCTTGGACTTAGTGTATTAAAGTATGCCTTGTGTTTTATAGAATGTTCCTTTTCCAAATGCCCTGTCGCCTTTAATCCCACCCGAGCCTCACATTGGCTCTGGACAGGGTAAAGAGTCTCTGCTTACACAAAGGAGCCTGCAGGTTTCTGACAGGTGAGGAGGCACTCCATTTGCTCAGTACTTAGGAAGCTTTGAACTTGACAGGTGTGGGCTGGAATTCTCTCTTGGCAAGTTATTAAACTCTGAACAACCTCATGTTTCTTTACTCATGAAGTAGGGGCAGTGGTAGGACTTCTTGGGTTTGCTGGGAAATACTGTGCAAATACTTAGCAGGTGGTAACTCTGTTATGCATTCAGTCCTACCAGGGCTGGATCTCGTCATGATGTTGCAGCAGAACATTATATCTGCCAACTCCTGGCCCTTTTGATTTTGAAGTGATATATCCGGTTGAGCAGAAGGAAGACATTGAGAGTGGCTGCTGGGAAATTTTCCTTTTAGCCCTGTGGGAAGTCGTTCTGGAGCTGTAGGAAGCAAGTGTTGAAGGGAGACCCAGACCTTGGATTTGTGATTGTCTCAACAAAAAGACATAAATTAGGTCACATCAACCATCTAAAGGTGATATGTGGGCCTGAGGAGATGGCCTAGTCAATAAGGTGTTGGTTGTGCAAGGAATCCTATGGAACCCCAGTGCTGAGGAAGTGGAGACAGGAGGATTCCTGGAGCTTGCTGGCCAGGCAGTCTAGTTGAGTCAGGGAATCAGTGATCAGTTCAGTGAGAGACCCTGCCTCAAGAAATAAGGTGGAGAGTGACTGAGGAAGACATCTATGTCGACTTTAGTCCTCTGCACATATGTGTGCACATACACACCACACGTAAACATATACCTGCAGAAAAGAAAAGAATTAAAACAAATTAAAAGGTAAGATTAATGGCATGACAGCTTGCTTTGTTTGTTTGTTTCCCCCAGTATATCCTTTCTTCAATTTTGGACTCAAGGACAGGGCTTTGAAGGGCAGATAACCCATGTGACGTTTTCTCGTGTGGGATGCTGAACTCAACACAAGACCTTGGTGCTCCTAAGAATGAAGGGGAGGGGAGCTCCAGTGAGGAAGGGAGGGAAGATAATGGGGGAGCAAGGAAGGAGTTACTATGCCCATCTGTCCCCACTTGGCAGTGCTGAATGTGGATGCCTGGGATTGTTTTATTTGCTTGTTTTCAGTGTGCTTCTGTCTGCCTAAGCCACTCACTTGTAGTGTGTTCTGGCTTCTTGGAAATGCTTGCTTCCCCTCAGATGGAATTAAAGAAGTGCCAAGGAGAGTTTCTCAAATATTCTTTCATTAATTATTGACCGTATGCCGAGCATTATTTTAGGAAGTGAGCAGAGCGTGAATTTGGGAGCCAGAAATTCAGCGTTCCTCAGACTTTGATGAGTTGGAATTGCCTTACAAGCTGCTTGTCTGATTCTGTTTGCCTTGGGTGGTGGGGGGCAAGATTCCGAATTTCTAATAGGTTCAGGCATGCTAGTTCTGCTTGTCCATAGTGAACCCTATGAGGAGCAGGTGATGGAGGAGGGGGAAGCCCTGGATTTCCCTGTCTTTCCTAGCTTTGCCTTTCTGGGGGGTGGGGGTGGGAGTGGTTGTTCTGTCTCTTGGTTGGAGTCCAGGAAATAAATTGGTCCGCATTTAACAAGAGCAGAGTCATCAACTCCCCCTTAGTTTAGCTCTTTCTTCTACTTCACTTGTCTAGCACAGGTAAACTGAATCAGGGCCTCCTTTGTTGGGATCTAGCTATCTTGCTTTCTCCTCCTCAAGTGCATAATCACACATACTTTTTACTGCTTGCCTTTTTGACCGAAAGTGA